GTATCTCATAATCCAATATGATCATAGGTTCACAACACAACCACTTAACACATCTCAATTACAGATTCAAAAAAAATAACACATCTGCTTAACATGTGTATACATGCACAAGCCTATTCTTAACTGAATAGGACAAAAATACTCATGCCAATTACAATCCACATTTCTGCAACTGGTCACATGGCCTAAGTTGGTATTTGTAACTACCTTCCTCTACTACCCATTCTGTATTTCCTCCACCATCAGCAAGGACCTCTGCAGGTCTTGGTTCTTTCCCTGGAGGAGTGACCCATACTTTCATCCCTGAGGGGTCTGGGCCATTTGTTTTCCTGTCTGGATTGGGTTATTGCACTTTCCCATTGACCTTAATCACAGGACACGGTAACATCAAAAGTCGCCCTAAGGAACCTCCTGCCTCGAAGATATAATATTTATTACCTCCATTGTGGAGAACCAGTTCAATTTCCCCCTGGTAGTCTGGGTCAATCACCCCTCCTAGTACTGTTATTCCTTTCTTAGCCTGCTGACTTGAGGGCATCAGAAGCCCAAAGTGGCCAGGGAGAAGTCTTAGCTTCCAGTTCAATGAAATATTTATTGTGTCTCCTGGAAGAAACACTCCCTCCTTTGGAACCAAAACTTCTAAGCTAGCAGAGTACAAAGTTGAGGGTACAGGAAGCAAAAATTTTCCTAGTGGGTCACCAGGGGTGATAGAGGAATCATTCTCACTTCCACACCTTGATTCCTGGACCCATGAATCCTGGCTATAGGAGAAACTGTATTGGACGCTGATTCAAAGCATACACTGCCTTCTGGAGGACCCTCCCCAGCCCTCCAGGCTATTGCCACCTAATTGCTGCTGTAACTGTGTCTTTAAGAGACCATTACATCATTCTATCAAGCCAGCTGCTTCAGGATGGTGAGGAACATGGTAAGACCAGTGGATTCCATGACCATGTCATGGAACACTTCTTTGGCTGTGAAGTGAGTTCCCTGGTCAGAAGCGATGCTGTGCGGAATACCATGGTGGTGGATAAGGCATTCTCTAAGTCCCTGGATGGTAGTTTTGGCAGAAGCATTATATGCAGGAAAGGCAAATCCATAACCAGAATAAGTGTCTATTCCTTTGAGGACAAAATGCTGTCCCCTCCAAGATGGAAGTGGTCCAATGTAGTCAACCTGCCACCAGATTGCAGCCTGGTCGCCATGGGGAACAGTGCCGTATTGGGGGCTCAGTGTTGGTCTCTGCTCTTGGCAGATCTGGCACTTAGCAGCAGCTGTAGCCAGGTCAGCTTTCATGAGTGGGAGTCCATGCTGTTGAGCCCATGCATAACTTCCATCTCTGCCACCGTGGCCACTTTGTTCATGGGCCCACTGAGCAATGACAGGGAAAGCTGAAGAAAGAGGCTGACATTCCACAGAGCGGGTCATCTGATCTACTTGATTATTGAACTCATCTTCTGCTGAAGCCACCTTTTGATGAGCATTTATGTTCACATCCTTTGCCCATTTGGAGAGATCTATCCACATACTTCTTCCCCAAACGTCTTTTTCACCAATTTTCCAACCATGATCCTTCCAAGTCCCTGACCATCCAGCCAAACCATGGCTATAGCCCATGAATAGTATATAATCGCACTTCAAGCTATTTCTCCTTCCAAGCAAAATGCACGACCATGTGCACTGCCCGAAGTTCTGCCCACTGTGAAGACTTTCCTTACCCAGTGTCCTTCAAAGTTGTTCCAGAAATTGGCTGTAATGCTGCAGCTGCCCACTTCTGAGTGGTGCCTGCATAGTGTGCAGAACCATCTGTAAACCAAGCCTTAGTCTTTTCTTCCTCAGTCAACTGATTGTAGGGCACACCCCATGAAGCCATAGGTGCATGCTTGAGAGAAGAGGGCATTGTAACAGGAGTAGGAACCATAGGCATTTGAGCAACTTCTTCATGTAGCTTGCTTGTGCCCTCTGGGCCTGCTCGGTCCCGATCATGTATATACCACTTCCATTTGATAATGGATTGTTGCTGTGCACATCCTACCTTATGGCTTGGGGGGGGTCAGATAACACCCAGCTCATGATGGGCAGCAACTTTCTCTCAAAGGGAGAATAGTTGTCTGCAGATGAAGGCAAAGCCTTACTCAAGAATCCCAATGGCTTCCACTGTGATTCCCCTATGGGGGCCTGCCAGAGACTTCAAACAGCATCTTTATCTGCCACTGATACCTCAAGCACCATTGGGTCTGCTGGATCATATGGCCCTAGGGGCAGAGCAGCTTGGACAGCAGCCCGGACCTGTTGAAGGGCCCTTTCTGTTCCAGGCCTCACTCAAAGGTAGCTGCCTTCTGAGTCACTTGATATATGGGTTGTAGTAACACACCCAGATGAGGAATGTGCTGCCTCTAGAATCCAAACAGGCCTACTAAGTGTTGTGCTTCTTTCTTGGTGGAGGGAGGGGCCAAGTGCAACAACTTATTCTTCACCTTAGAAGGAATGTCTCTGCATGCTCCACACCACTGAACTCCTAAAATTTCACTTAGGTAGAAGGCCCATGAGTTTTGGTTGGATTTATTTCCCATCCTCTCATGGACATATGCTTTACCAACAGGTCCAGACTGTCTGCTACCTCCTGCTCACTGGATCCAATCAGCATAACATCATCAATATAGTGGACCAGTGTGATATTTTGTGGAAGAGTCAGGCAATCAAGATCCCTTTGAATCAAGTTATGGCACAATGCTGGAGAGTTAATATACCCTTGAGGCAGGACAGTAAAGGTATACTGTGGGTCTTGCCAGCTGAAAGCAAATTGCTTCTGGTGGTCCTTATGAACCAGTATTGAGAAGAAAGCATTTGCCAAATCAATGGCTGCATACCAGGTACTGGGAGATGTATTAATCTGCTCGAGTAAGGAAACCACATCTGGTACAGCAGCTGGAACTGGAGTCACCACTTAATTAAGTTTTTGATAGTCAACTGTCATTCTCCATGACCCATCTGTCTTCTGCATAGGCCACATAGGAGAGTTAAAGGGAGATGTGGTGGGAATCACCACCCCTGCATCTTCCAAATCCTTGATGGTAGCACTAATTTCTGCAGTCCCTCCAGGGATGCAATACTGTTTTTGGTTCACTATTTTCCCTGGCAGAGGCAATTCCAGTGGTTTCCATTTGGCCTTTCCAACCATAATAGCCCTCACTCCACAGGCCAGGGAACCAATGTGGGGATTCTGCCAATTCCTAAGTATATCTATCCCAATTATACATTCTGGTACTGGGGAAATAACCACAGGATGAGTTTGGGGACTCACTGGACCCACTGTCAGTCAGACTTCCGCCAAAACTCCATTTATTACCTGACCTCCATAAGCCCCTACTTTAACTGGAGGGCCACAGTGCTTTTTAGGGTCTCCCAGAATCAGTATCAACTCAGACCCAGCATCCAATAGGCCTCTGAAAGTCTGATTATTTCCTTTTTCCCAATGCACAGTTACTCTAGTAAATGGCCACAGGCCCCTCTGGGGAAGGATAGGTGAGAGGCAAACAGCATAACTCTTTGGTACTGTGACAAAGTCCTTCCTCAAGGGCACCCGGCCTTCCCTTCATTCAAGGGGTTTTGGGTCTGTAAAATGTCTCAAGTCTGGAAATTGGTTGACTGAGCCAGATTCTCTATTGCTATGATCCAATACTGACTTCCTGTCATTTGTCCTAGGGCTTTTCTGTTTATCCAGATCAAATAAAAACTTAATAGGCATCAGTAAGAGACCTTACTGAAGCAGAAACAAAAGGAGAATGTGTACATTTCAGTATTATTTTAGTGCCATGATTTTCTGATGGGGGTAGCTATTTGAAAATATGCTTTACACCAGTAAGAATAGGTTACTGGCAAAGTAGAAATTGAGAGACCTGAATTCTATTCTTGTTTCTGCCTCTAACCAGATTTCTGACCTTGACCAAAATTTCTGAAAAGCATAGAGCTAAAGTAATTTTCTCTTTTTTCCAACTTGCATTGTTTGGATCTGAAACCTAGTAACTGGTAAAAAACAAACACAAAAAAGGAAGAAGAGAAAGAAGAAAAAAAATCAAAATCAAACTCATAACCAAACCAAACCAAACCAACCCTAACAAACAATCAAATAAAACCCAGCACCAAACAAGACCAAACCACACAAACAGTTGTGAGTCTTGATGGGCTGGGTAAATGTGTGTTGTCTCTTGGTCAACTAAGAGACCTGAATTCCTAAACTTGGACCTTTGTATGATAACAAAACCCCACCTCCTCCCTGACCAGTCAACAATCATTTCTGAGACATGGAGAGACACAGGTGATTAGCAGATCACAGAATCAGCTATGATTTCTTTGAGATTACAACTTAATGATAAGTTAATGCGTCTTAGCACTCCACTATGCTGTTATTTTTGAAAATTTTATTGTTTATTTTTTTCGTATATGAGTGTCTTGCCTGAATGTATGTATGTGTACCCATGTCATGCAATGCCTGTAGAGGCCAGAGGAGGGCGTCCAATCCCCTGGAACTGGAGTTATGGATGGTTGTTAGCTGTCATGTGGCTGCTGGAAATTGAACTAGGGTCCTCTGCAAGAGCAGTCAGTGCTCTTAACCATTGAGCCATTTCTCCAGCCCCCACTATGCTGTTATTTTAAAATAGAATTTCCAATTATACCACCTATAAAGCATTTGGGTTTCCCACCTCTCTTATCCTTAAGGTGTATTGGGGTGGACTAGAATCACTCAGTGAAAGAAGCATGACAGCTGCTGACATAGCCTTTTGGATGGTTTCTCTCCACATGGTAACCAAGTTCTGTTTCAGCTTCCTTTTACTTTCAGGCTCTCTCTTACCACTGTTCCTTTAACTCTAGTCACCAGGCTTCAGAAGAGAATCACAGTCCTTCTGCAGAAACGCACTCCCCAAGGAGAATATTCACTCTGCAAGAGCAGTTTCTGGAAACATTTCCTTTTGAAGACAGAAAATATCCAGGGCACTTACCTTGGAAGCACAGAGAAGATACTTGGACTTAAACTCAGAGCTGAGAAGCCAAAGGTGATTTTTAATTTTTTTTTAAAGGAACAAGTTTGACTCTCAAAGCCTTGTTCTAAAAGGAAAGCACGTTGCTGACTTCGATCAACGTACTCTGAATTTAACTCAAAAGCCTGTTGTTTTCTTCTGTCATGCTGTTGACAACAGGAAGGTTGTATTAATATGAGCGGCATACTTCCGCGATCGTGGGGGAGGGCTAAGTGATGAGATAGAACTCAGTTTTCTGATTGGAAAGAAGGACAGGACTCCTCCCCTTTCATATTCCCTCCTGAACGTCACAGCACAAGCCCTAAAACTTATCCCAGGCTCCAATAAGCAGTGCTGTTGTCATTGTCGCCTGCAGAGGGCGCCAAACCCATAGCCTTCTTAGTGACAAACACCCTAGCAAGTCTCTAGAACATTAAAAATGGTCAAAATAACTCATCTTCATTTTGCTGTTTAGGGACATTTCCCAACATGGCTCATTGAACATTTTCAGAAGTCAGAAATGCACACACCTGTAGGGGCAGGCAGGCGGCATAAAGGAAGAATGCGGTCAGGTAAGTGCTGACTGGAAAGCCCAGCACCTATCTGCTCAATTTAGGTAGATGCTGCCATTTGGGAGAAAGACCCACTGTCCCAAGGCTCTAGGCCTTTTTATAATTTTCCTCTCCCCTTTTTTTGGAGACAGGGTCTCCCTATGTGCTGGTTTCAATTTTTCTGTCTTTCTGAGTGAACTTCCCCAGGGCCGAGATTACAATCATATGCTACCACCCCTGGCTTGCAGATACAATAATTTTTAGTGGTAAGATCTAGCTGTACACTCTGCTGTTTTCTGTATTTGTGTGCCACTTAGCATAGTGGTATTTGCCTTGGGGAAACAGCAAAGCAAGTATGAATTGTGCACACAGGACCAGCAGGAGGAAAGCCCTGCATCAGTATTCTGCATCGATAAAGTCTGCACTGCTGTGAGAGGCAGTCTGCCTGCAGGTGAACTTTGGCACTGGTGCCAGGATGGGCATGCTGCTGGGCTGAGGTGTCCTGTGACTCCATCACTGAGGCCTTTTCCTTTCCTTTGCTCAGGTTTGCTGCTGCACCACTGGCCAGGCATGGGAGAGTGTGTCCCTGTGGCTTTGCTATTTGCCTTATCATCAGGTCAGAAGCCCCAGGCACAGAAGCAAAGTGTATTTAGTGACCATATGGAGCAAGGCAAAGTTCTAAGTCCTCAGAGCACTCAGCTTCCATTTGTTCCTGGTTAGATTTGTGGACCTGCAGTAAGGGGGTTTCCCAGGGCTACCTGTTCCAGACTGACTGGTGTCCTGCTGTTTGTGAGGCTGAGATCTCCAGACCTGTCTCATTGTCTATTGTGAAGTCAACACCTTCCATTTCAACTCTGAGTCAATTTAGAAGTCTCAGTTTGGAGTCAGTTAGGGTGAAAGGAGAATGGGTCTTAGAGGTGGCAAAATAGGATTTGAATTTTGTTATTGGCTAGACATTGGACCCCCAGAAAACTACAAAAACACTCAAAGAATATGCTTTGTATAAAAAAATTCCTGAAGCTGTGAGTGGGTATGCATACCTGTAATCCCAGTGCTCAGTAGTTTGAGATTGAAGGATTCCTGTGAATTTGAGTCCAGCCTGAATTAGAAAGCTAGTATCAAGCCTATCATGACTATATACCAAGACCCCGTCTCACAAAACTAAAAGAAAAGCAAGAAGAAAAAGAGAAAAGCATTCATGTCAAAGTTGTGCAATTGTAAGTGTTCAGCACAAAAACATTTACTTGGTGGTCATTCCTTACCTGATCATGTGTCTACCTTCTCAGTAGAAAAGAAAGCTCATACAATAAGCTTAACATGAAATTTGGGAACAGGTAGAGCAAAACATACCAGTGGATTTGCTTGAGTGGATAGGAGGGACAGATAGCATCTAGCCAGGAATAAATGACTTCTACCAATAGGAACACTTGAATTTCTAGGCCAGGCCACTAACATGGATGTCTGAAGTCAGTAGAAAATAGCCGTTAATAGAATTGGAAAGGTGAAAAAGATGCTGATTGGAATCGACTCGCTGCAAAGAGCAGCACTCTCCAGGGAAAACCATATTGATGTACCAAGTGTGGGTTCTTGACTGCAGCTAAAACCTCTTTGAGAAAAGAGGGAAAGTATGCCCCAAGTATTCCTGACCATATATATCATCTTCATGATGTAAGTCAAGTGCAACCAGAACTGTTACTGCCTGTCATCTTTCCTTCTTGAACTCTGGCCTTAACCAAATACACTTAGAATATACAGGGTTTTTTCCTGAGGCAGGGTCTCCCTGTAGCCTCAGCTGGCCTGGAACTTGCTATGTAGACCAGGCTTGCCCCAACCTCACAGAGCTCTTCCTGCCTCTGCCTCCTGAGTGCTGAGATGAGAGGTGTGCACCATCACACCAGGCTTCAAAATATACAGTTTGAATTGAACATGCTTAGGAATGGGTCAGTCACTGCAGTGTTTTCATGTGTATCTAAACTCCCTGAATAAAGCCCCTATGTTTCCTTTGTTGGGAGATGGCATTGATTTGAAATAACTTCCCTGTTCTTCTTTCTTGTTATGGCTAATAAATCCTTTATCTATCTTTTATTTATTGTCTATCTTTATTTATATTTTGTGCTCATCCAGATGAGAGCTATTACATTCTATTAAGATAATAAAGTCTGGAGAAATATTTTGAGAAGTCACAATGATAGCTCTCAAGGAAATGTTGCTGTATGGAGAGTGTCTGATGTGAAAATGAAAGATCCAGTAAGTCCTCTGACCAGCAAGCCCTGACTATAAATGCCACAAACTCTTTTTGCTGATGTCTAAAGAACTATGGGATAAAATGGAACTAGGCAAAAATACTTTGCCTTTTAAAAAAATGTAATCCTGGAGATTGAACCCAGGCTTCCACACAGGCTAAGTAGGTTATCTATCACTAAGATGCATCTCTATCCATTTAAAAAATTATTTAAGGGGCTGGAGAGATAGCTCAGAGGTTAAGAACACTGACTGCTCTTCCAGATGACCCTGATTTGGTTCCCAGCACTCACGTGGCAGCCAAGAACCATTCATAACTCCAGTTCCAGGGGCTCCAATACCCCCTTCTGGCCTTGGCATGCATGCACATAATACACACACACACACACACACACACACACACACACACACACAAAGTGAAAGGTGAGAAGGTGTTTAGATTAGATGTTCCAGGGGTTTTGAAAAAAAATTGTGTTAGAAGTAGTTAGCTGGATAAATATGACCTGCTAGGTGAAGAGTGGATGCTTGGCTCATAGTTCAGGCAGCAGAGGGGTGCATTTGTTGAGAATGACAAAATATAACTTCTACTGTGTAATAGAGTAACTTCTAACCTTAAGTCCATACTTAAAGCATACTTAATGGTAAGTAAAATAAGAAATCCTTTCCTCATTGGTATTAGTCACATTTCAGGTGCTTAACAGCCACAAATTGCTGGTGGCTATCATATCAGAAAGTGAAGATTAAGCAGTCTAAGACGGCAGGGTGGTCAGTTGGATGTTGTAGATAGTAGTAGATGACTGAGACGGTGGAGGACAGCATGGTCAGAGGGAATCAGGTTAGGGAACTGAGAGGACCTGACAATTATGATAGGAAAGAGAGAGAGAGAGAGAGAGAGAGAGAGAGAGAGAGAGAGAGAGAGAGGGGGAGAGGGAGGGAAAGCTGACCAAGCAGTCTGTGAATAACAGCAACAAGGGTATAGTGTGTGATGGACTGAGATTTAAGACAGGGTTTTATGGAGGAAAGAGATGGGCCCAAAGCTTCAGCGAGGAATAAAGAGGTCCCTGCCGCCAAGTCACAACTGTTAGTGCAGTGAGATGGGGTTATCCCCTCTGCTCTATGCTGCCTGGGTACAGAGAAGTCTCTGTGGTCTTGATCCTGCTGTAGCTACTGGGGCCTAGAGGGATGTGGTGGACTGTCCAAGCAGAGGAGACTGCCTTCTAGACTCCCTAGATTCTCAGAATGTCACCTGAAGTCTCTCATTTTCTCTTGACTTTCCCTTTTTTCTTAATCTTTACCATATGTGTATTCCAGTATAACTGGAAAAAATTAACATAAAAATGTGAGGCAAAAAATTAAAATCGAAAGTGAAAAGTTGCCTTTATTTCTCATTGTCAATTTAACTCTCCAGAGTGATGGTGTGGTGACATTTCCAGAAGTCGTCCTAAGCATATATGAACACACGCACACACACACACACACACACACACACACACACACACACATACACATGCACACACTCTCCTCCATGGTTAAAAAGTTTAAAACTTCTTTCATGTTGTAATAGTTCATAGGGATTTGTAACTTTTTAAAAAGCTGCCCATAATACTGTGGACACCATTCTATATCAATATTCATTGATTTCATTCTTTAAAGAATTAATTTAGTTTTTAAAAGATCTATTTTATTATTTTAAATTATTAAGTATATGTGTATGTGTCTTGTGGGTATGTATATATGAGTGTAGATGCCCTCAAAGGTCAGGAGAGGACTTTGGATCTCCTGGAACAGGCAGCTGTGAGCTGCTGGGAACCAAACTCAGGTCCTCTGAAAGAGCTGCAGACACTGTCAGCTGCAGAGCTACCAGTCCGGCCCTATTGACCTTCATTCTTTAAAGACTTACTAGTGCAGAGTTTAGCAGTATGTCAGCTGCTCTTGGCAATTTCTGTCCAGTATCTACTCTGCATCTTTTTTTCCCCCTCCCCATTTGGCAGCATTTATTTCCTTCAGGCATTTCTTCCTCGTCATCCCCCCCGCCCCCAAGCTCTCCTCAGCTCCAATGGTTGGTCTTTTGAGACTTGCCCTTAGGAAATCCCAGATCTCTTGCAAATGATTGTCTTCGGAGGGGACACTGAGGCAATTTAGGTCATGAGGACAGGACATGAAGAGAGATTCACTGGAGACTTTAGTATTTTACTTTAGGCTTATGTATTTAGACACGTGGACACTTGTGTGGGGCGTGTGTGAGTGCATGCGTGTGTGTGTATATCTGTAAAAAAAATTAAACTCTGGATCTGGGGAGATAGCTCAGCTGGTAAAGTGTTTGATTCTCAGAAGCCACATTAAAAAGCCGGATGTGGGACTGGAGAGATTGCTCAGTGGTTAAGAGCACTGGCTGCAGGGCACCCGGGTTTGGTTTCCAGCACTCATATGGTGGCTAACAACTATCTATAACTCCAGTTCCAGAGTTTCTGATGCCCTCTCTGACTTCTGTGGGCATTGCATGGCTTGTGTGCATTTGCATACATGAAGACAATACACTCATACACATAAAATAAAAATAATAAATAAAAACTTTTTTTGGCATTTTAGAGACAGGATCTCCCTGTAGCCCCAGCTAGCCTGGAACTCACTATGTAGACCGGGCTGGCCTTGAACTCACAGAGATCTGCCTGCTTCTGCCTCCCAAGTGCTGGGAGTAAAAGTATGTGCCACCATGCCCGGCTAAAATGATTTTTTTTTTTGGTCTTTTTGAGACAGGGTCTCCCTGTAGTCCCAAACAGCCTGGAACTTGAGATGTAGACCTCTACCTCACAGAGATCCACCTGCCTCTGCCTTAAAATATTTTTAAAATGCCAGCTGTAGTGGCCTGTGTATGTTAGCACTGGGGCAGTGGAGCCAGGTGGATCCTTGTAGTTTTCTGGTCAAAAGTCAGCCTAGCTTGCTTGGTGAATCCAGGCCAATGTGAAACGCTGTCACAAAAATTCAAGGTGGATTTTTCTTGAAGAATAACACCTGAGGTTGTGCTCTGGTCTCTCGTGTGCACATGCACCCCATACACTTATGTGCAATCACACGAACACACATACACGCACACACACACACACACACACACATGTGAGCAGATATAACAAAGAAACCCCAAAACAGAATGAATTAAATAAGACAAAAATTTTCTCTGTCACTCCTTTTCTTCGTTGTTGAAGCAGGATTGCTGCAGTGACCATGGTAGGAGTGTGGACAAGAGAGGAAGACCAGAGTAGGCAGTTTCCTCTTTAAGCAAATGAAGTACATATTGCATAAATTACTTCAATTAACGTCCCATTTACCAGAAAGTCACTTCATGGCCATCCTATGCAAGGGAAGATGGGAAATGTAGTTGCTAGGATAGGTGGCCATGCGACCAGGAAGAAGGAATAAATAGAATTTGGAATACAAGTAGTTGTTTGCTTGATTCTCCTGGTTTTCTAAGTATGTCATACATTTCTTGACATAGATTTTAGTATGGAAGCTTGGCAGCTGTTCTCTTATGTGGAGGGAAGATCAGATTGATCTAGGGATAAGGGAAGATTCTAGAGCATTGTAAAGACATATCACTGAAACTACTAGATCATATATATATATATATATATATATATATATATGTCAACCCTGAAGCCGTATGAAGTAGGATGTATTATAGTTTCATATTACAGAAGAGAAAACTTGTGGCTTAGGAAAAGTAAGTGGTTCTGTCAAAGTCACACAGCTAGTAGCTGGTAGAGCCCATGATACTAACAGTAGAGTGTTATGCACACAGAAAGCCACAACTGTCCAAGTTTTAAAGAATAAGAGATTGTAGAGTATAGGATAGGTCCTACATGAAACCTCATCCACCTATGACTCAGGGACTGTCCTAGTTTGTTTCTTCATTTCTGTGACAAAACACTCTGACCAATACCAACTTGGGGAGGAAAGGGTTTATTTAGCTTACATCTCCCAGGTTCATCAGGGAGCCCAAGGTAGGAACTCAGGGCAGGAACCTGGAGCACAGGTCATGGAGGAACGCTGCTTACGGGCTTGCTCCCCTGGCCCCTGCTCAGCCTGTTTCTTATGCAACACAGGCCCACCTGCCCGGGGTGGCACCACCCACAGTGGGCTGGGCCCTCCCACATCACACAACAATCAAGAAGATGCCCCACGGACATGGCCATAGGCCAGTCCAATGAAGGAAATTCCACAACTGAGGCTCCCTCAACCCAGGTGCATCAAGTTGACACTAAAGCTATCCAGTACAGGGACCATTGAGGAAGAGGGGGTGGGAAGATTGTAAGAGCCAAGGATGGCTCACGAACACAGGGAAGCAGAGGCTTCCAGGCCACTGGAAGTTTGCACTTGTGAACTTGTGGCAGTGGTGGCATCGAGCACAGGGTCCATGTCAACTCAATTAAACAAGGGCCCAAAGGGGAGGAGAGAAATAGGTGGTGGGCCAGCAGTAGACTGAGAACTGTTGGAGACTAATTGCTGCTGGGTGAGGGAGAGTATGACTTACATATGATCAGTAGATGGGCTGACTAGAATCCAGTGGATGAATTTGCGCTGAAGGACATTTGGGTACAAATGCCTGAATGAATAAGACTTAACATGTTTGGTGGAATACTTGTGGTTCGGTGGGAGGATGAGGAGGCATGGATGGGGGAGAGGGTCTAAATTTGATTAAGAACTGTTGTATGAAATTACAAAAGTGCTATAATGTATTTTAAAAAAAGAAAATAGATTTCTCAGTTTAAGGCTAGTCCAGCAGGGGGTGCTCCGTGTATATGTTAGAATTTCAGAAACTATAAAATTTCCCTGAGAGATGGACCACCTCAAAAACTCTTCTGATTTAAAGACCGTTTGAGAGACAGAGTTGGAAAGCCAGAGCTTTGTGTATTTCCTCCTTTATTAGATTTCTGGGAATTATGCAAGAAAGTTTGGGAAATAGTATTATTTTTCTTTCTGGGATTACTTAAATTTTGTGGTGCTGGGCATCAGATTCAGAACCTGATGCATGCTAAGCAATTGAACGACCTCTGAGCCATTCCCCACTCCAGGCATGTGGTTTCTGTTTTTTCCTGAAAAGGAAAAAATGATACTCTTTCCCAAAATGACAAATGGGATAATTTCTAGCATATGGAGGGAAAACTTATTTTCTATTGAGTCTATTTTATATTATGGCGGTCAGGTAGGCCTAACGTAATCATAGTCAGAAGAGATAAGGGAGAGGCAAACAGGGAAAAGGATGTATGTGGTGATTCAGAGAAACATGCGTGTATATAAAGAGAGAGATGAAATTCCAGATGCAGTGGGAAAGACACGTGGATAGACAGGCAGGCAGTCCGACAGCTCTCTGTCACTCAGAGTAAAGAAGGGAGGCGGCATGCTTTTGTGTTGCACATCCTTCAGACAGGACTTTCAAGATAATGCTACTGAGTCTCATGAAGTCATCTGGACACTGCAAACCATGGGCTTAAATGGGGAAAAGTCCTGGTGTATGTTTTGGAAATCCATACCCTGACATCTGTGAAGTAGAACTGCTCTCCTGTACCAGCAGTTTTGTTACTCAGTGACTCCTTGGAAGAAAGAATATCCCAAGGGAGGCACATTGCCCCAGAAACTCGCTTGCTTATTGAACCATCCACCCTTTTATGGGCTTTATTTGTAGAGACTCTTATCCTCTTCTCTTTTCTCCCAAACCACAAAAAGAGAACAAAAGACCACTTGAAACAGTTTTCTAGGTTTCTTTCTTTTTATTTGTCATTAACTAATATCATAGAGAACCATTTTAGTGCAAACTAATCTCTCTGAGGTAGGGGTTTTAGTTGAGATCTATGAAAATAGCTTTTAGGAGAAAGAGGTATGATTGCTCAGTGCTTGCTGGTTTGTCTTCCTCCCTAAAATAAACCTGGAACTTCCCAGCACTTTAAGTGAACAAATACCATAGTTGTTATTTTCTAGCACTATGGAGCTGGGAGAGACTCAGTTGTATACCAGGGCTGCCTGTGAGGTGAGCCGGGGAGGAGAAGGGTTAGTCTTCACTCTCTTAATATGAGTTATGACTGTGAAGGCAATGTTGCTATAATAGAAGAGTCAGAACATTGTTCCCCATACATCTGAAAAGCCAGTTAGAAGACTTTTTACTTACAGAAAAATCAAGAAAACAGCCACAAGCAAAGCCAGAAAACTAAAGAGTTTAAGTAGACTTTCAACGAGAGATGGGGATTCTTGTATAACTCGAGTTTTTGTGACCTTCAGTGTTCGGTCCCACTGTGCCAAGATGGCCTTCCTGGCACCTTCCCATTTTCCTGGGCCAGTCAGTCGGAACTGGTATGGTGAGCATGGGCCAAAGAAGATGCTGAGAGCCAGGCGTGGGTCTGTCAGGAGCATGGACCACAAGTCGGGTTTTGCATTGATAGAGGTCAGGAGGTCATCTATGTATGTTACATAATCTGATTGCAAAGCTTTGCAGTAGCATAAGCCAAACCTTTATGAAAGGAAGTTTGGGAGGAGAGAAGAATGACAGTTAAAATAATAATAATCATAGAACCAGTAAAGACAACCTTTGGGTTTTTGTCCAAAGCAAACAAACACTGCCACAAAATTGGGGCTCGTCTGATATACCCTCCACTTTAGCCCATGGTTATTTAATGGTCTTCTAATTCTTTTTTTTCTTTTTTTAGCTTCTTTGAGACAGGGGGTCAAACTCATGGCAATCCTCCTGCCCCAGCCTCCCCAGTGTTGAAATTACAGGCACAAGTGACCACACCTGGCTTCATTCTTTCTTAAAACTCAAATATTTCTTTATTTGTATAATATGATGAGTCATAAAAACCTGAAGAGTGAAATTCTCTACTGTTAATATTAGTCCTTAGTCAGTGGTTGACTTATGTGACAGGAAGATTTAACATTCTGTAGTGGCTCTAATTATCCATTATACTGGAGATCTCTAATGAGATAAAACTATATTCCAGAGTCAGGATAAAGCAACATCTGCGACACTTGCTCTTACTGTTTTGGATTTTGACTCTTTGATAGAAATAGACCAACACTTGAAGTGACAGAGTATATATGAATGAGAAAAATACTAAGTTGTTAAAATGCAATAATTAAAAAAAAATAGTGTCTTATTCTGCATTCCAGACTAGCCGGGAGCTTGCAATAATCCTCCTGCTTCAGCCTCTCAAACACTGGGATTACAGTTATAATCTACCACATCTGGCTAATTTATATATATATGTATATGTATATGTATATGTATATATATATATATATACACATATGCATGTGTTCATATGTATGTGGGTGCACAAGGCCCACATTCATGTGTGTGCATGTGTGTATAGAAGTTAGAGGACAACCTCAGGTGCCATTTCTCAGGTGCTAAGTACCCTTTGTTGGAGCTAGAGTCTCTCACTGGCCTCAAATTTGACAAGTAGGCTAGGTTGGTTCATTAGGGAGCCCCAGGAATCTGCATCAGCACTGGGATTACGAACAATTTTTCTACCCCACATACTGCTTTTTTAGGTGGGCTCTGGACACTGAATTTAAGTTTGCATGTTTGTAAGGCAAGTGCTTTATCCACTGAGCTAATCCCCTAACTCATTTTTTTTTTAAAAAACAACCCTTTTAATTTCCTATAGAACCCTTTAGACTTTCAAATGAAAATTTGCTTGGCAGACAGTAAAGTCAGAGGTTTTGTTGCTGCTTGGACGATGTAGTGGATGATGGCCATGACTCTCTTGGCTGCCCTTGTCCTTTTCTTTTCTTTGGCTCTTGAGTGGGACCACAGAACAATACAAATATCATCTTTTTCTGGAACAGGCAGGACCACAGAGCAACACAAATATCATCTCTTTCTGGAACAGGCCCCCTGGCAATCTGACAGTTTTCAGGGCCATTACGGGGCTCCTGCGTCTACCTATCACAGAAGGCCTTTACTGTGGTAACCTAGAAGCAGCTGTGGACAATACACAAGGAATGAGTGGGGCTCTGTTGCAACAAAACCGCTTATAGTCACCCTGGTTTGAATTTTATATAATTAACATGAATTTCAAAGTCTTTGTCTTCTACAACTATTAGAAAATGAAAACCTAAAACTAGGTCAGTAGGTCTATCCCACAGCCAAGGTCGACTGACTCCTGCTTTAGCAACCAGAATGGAAACAGTAGAGTCCATAAAGACACTCCAGTACGCACACAGTCTGCTTGCTGATTGTGGATAAGGTGTGGGATAATGTACCTGTTTCATGAGGGTGCCTTACACTTGATGTAGAATCCAAACTCCATTTGATGCTAGGTGACTGTGTTCTGATATGATGATTCTGGGAACTTTAAAATTTCTCATTTTCCATTTTGCCTCCGCTTTCCTCATACAGGATTTGTTATTATTTTTTTCCCTAGTCTCAGACACAAGTCTTGTCTGCAGTGTAAAGCTCACCTCCCCTTTACTATGTTACCAGTTCCAGTTATGATTCACAAAGGATACCTGAATAGTTCACTCACCCACTATGTTTGTTTTTCCTCCGTTCATTAACTTCTGCCATCATGACACTTGATGATGGTAATGGAGTTGCTCCTGCAAAATAAATATACAACAATGCAATTCAAACTTAGGTCTAGGCTTTGACTTATGGGTAATGACTGCTCATCTTTCATTTTTAGCACCCGGCTACTTATCTGTTCTGCAAAAGGGTTAGCAGCCTGAGCTGACTGAAAAGATTAGCATCATGCCATCTCACTAGTTACTTAATGTGACAGAACCTCACAGATGATTTGATTGATGACGCCATTTAATTGACTGAATTTATAATCTTTAGTTGAATCAGTTGATTCAGTCAAAATAATAGGAAGATACACATAATTTTTAAATCTTGATTTGTGATGTGATGATACAAATCACTATGCTTGAATAATTCCATGAATATCGAAATGGATTCTACTTTTAAAGGTTGTATTGCTTTATTTATTTTTAAAGATCTTATTTTTAATCACATGTATATACGTGTTTGTAGGGTATGTGCATGTGAATGCAGGTGCCCAGGAGGCCGGAAGAAAGTGTTGGATCCCTTAGAGCTGGAGTTTTAGGCAGTTGTGAGCCTCCCAGTGTAGATGCCGGGAACTGAACTCAGGTACCCTACAACAGCGGTGTGCACTCTTAACCACTGAGCTATCTCTCTAGGCCTTATTCTATTTTTTTAAAAAGAGAGATAGGTAATAGTCTCAAAATATCCAGTATTAAAAATCACATGGCAGAGGCTAAGAGATGCTCAGAGTTTCAGAGCACTTGATGCTCTTCCAGAGGACCAGGTTTGGTTTCCAGCACCCACACAATAGCTAACACCCACCTTTAACTCCATTTCCAAAGTATTTGATGTTCTCCATTGGCTTCCACGAGCACTGGGCATGCATATGGAGCATTTATATACCATGCAGGCAAAACACTCATACACATAAAATAAAAATAAATTTAAACAAAACCACTTGGCAAATGAAAGAACGCACACCTCACTGTTTCTGATGTATTTACCTTTTAGGACTTGAACAACCCACCGAGCTTGTGTCTCTCCTGTGGGTATCATGGAGCCCAGGGGTTTGATGAGGCCAATCACAGCCAGAGTTGGTTTTGGCAGGTGTGCAGGGAAGATGTACTTATACAGTGATGCCTGACCATCTTCAACTTTCACTACAGAGTCGTCCAGGAAGGGGAAAGCAAAGGTGTATCCAGTGGCGAAGACAATGATATCAATAGGCTCTTCCTTTGGGGTGTTGTTAAAGACGACAGAGTTTTCCTTCACCTCCTTTATGCTTGGCTTGATTAGCACTTTCCCTGTGATGATACGGCCCGGGAGCTCATCATTTAGCACAGGCTCTCTCAGCTGAGTCCTAAACAAAAACAAGAACAGAGAGAGATCTGCTGGCCAACAATGGAGCTAGCCCTTTCTCTCTCTTTCCTCTCTTCATCTACTCTTGGCTGGACTAAGCTGCCAGTTTTCAAAGGGGATCAATGATATCCAAGGATTATGAAATGCCATTTACTGGAGTTTGAAAGCTGAGGAGGAAGCTGGAGCTTTCTTGAGCTTCTGTTTCTCTTGCTGATTTTCAGCATTCAGCCATCACCATCATTCTAGAGATTGAGCAACACTAAGGGATTGCAAGGCAAACTGGGAGGCCCCATATCTCATGAGGATTTCGGAAGCTCTATGTAGTCTCCCCTCCTAGAGCAGTTGTGTAAGGAAAATGTGTGTGTTCCAAATGAATGAGGACAGTGCCATCTTTTTCTAGTTATTCCTTTTCTCAGTAGAGGAAAACATTGCTGAGTTGCTTTGGTAAAGTTGAGCCATTTTTGGTTTACAGTGACTACACAGAAAGAGATGGTATGGTAAAATGGAAATGGCAGGGGAGTCAGAGGTAGTAAGTGTGGTTTCTTTTATACTGCCTATACATTACAGAGCTTCGGCAAGTCTTATCGTCCCTAGGGTCTTTCTTTTGTTTGTCCATAAATTATAACTACTACTACCTAGATAAAATGAAAGAGCATATGTAAGAGAGTACATATGGGGATAAAAGGACTAACTACATCAAAGAGAGGAGATTCAATTTCTTCAGTCCTGTGAGGCACCATCTAGGCTAGATAAAGCTTTTGGCAGAAAAAGCTTTGGTGGGAGGAGACAAAGCTCCAGAGAAGCTTAGAGGTAGAAGAAAGAAAATAAATAAGGAAAGATATGGAGGTAAGAGAGAGAGAGAAGGGGGAAGAGGAAAGCAGAAGTCCATGTAACAGAGAGGGGTCTGCTTGTCACCAGTGTGGGGTCCATAGTAAAATACAGAGGAGACTAGAGAGGATCTCAGGCTACAGTGCACCTGACAATGGATTTGCATTGTCTGAACTTAATGAATGACCAAGTGACACTTGGATTTTTCTTATGGGATGTTGTGGTTTGAATAAGAAATATCTTCCGTGGTCTCATGTATTTGAACACTTGGTTCCAATTATTGGTGATACTGTTTGTGAAAGTTGTGGAAACTTTAGTAGGTGGAGCATTGCTGGAGGAAGTGTGTCACTGGGGGTACTGGCTTTGAGATAGCCTTGCCTCACTTTATGTTCTCTCTCTTTCTCTCTCTTTCTCTCTCTCTCTCTCTCTCTCTCTCTCTCTCTTTCTCTCTCCTGTGTGTGGATGAAAATGTGGTCATCCATCTTCTTCACTCTCATGCCCCGATGCCTTCCCTGACTGTTGCCTTCCCCATGATAGACTCTTCCTCAAGAACTGCAAGCCAGAATAAACCCTTTCTTCCCTAAGGTGCTTTTGATCAGAGTGTTTTATCACAGTTACAGAAAGACAATTAGAACATCGGATAAGGTACTGATTTTAACCAAAGGATAGGCTGAAATCTAGGTCACCTTGACAAGGGCAAGAAGGCACTGTTATAAGAGAGATGGTGAAGGGCAACTGTTAGATTCAATGTTTTCCCGCATAATGAAACAGTGCAAGGTGTGGCTTTTCTCAATAAAGTCATAGATCAATTATTCTCTCCTGTTTGCTGGAGCTGAGGCCCTATCTCCTACTAAATGAGCTAGGGCAAGTGACTAGATTTTTCTAAGCCTCAGTTCTCTCACATTAACAGAAAGATTATAACAATACTTATCTTAAAAGAGTTGTTGGCAAAAAGTTGGCAAGATGAAATATAGAATACCACTGACTGAGCATTTTATAGCTATTATCAGCGAGTACATTTGTGTGACTTTTAAACATCCAGCCATATCACTGTTATTTTCTGGTTTGCATGAGCTACTAAGGATTCAGATTCCATCTTCCTAACACCATTTTTCAGATGTGTTATATTTACCTGTCTTCTGGAATGACCCCATAATTCTCATGATTGAACCAGCTGTTCATCTTTTTTGCTATCAACCAAGACACAATTGGAGTTGGGAGAAAATTTCGGAACATGTTCTGAAATCGTGTCATGAATACCATGTCCCACGGGTATCCTGAATCAAAGACTCGGCTGATCACCCATGCCCCTCCAGTGGTGCTGAGGAATACCTGAAGGGTTCAAGAAATGCAGATTGAAAATCATGTCTTTCACTAAATACCTGACATGATAGTCTTGTTTCTTCTAAACAATACTTTGAATAAACATAGTATTAAAATACCATAGGACATATTATTGAACACTTATTCTCTGTCATGTTTGACATACCAAAGCAAGTCTAGGGGACTTTAAGTTTCCTGTGAGAAGATAATGAACAGTTGGTTGCAATTTTATATTCCAATTTTAAGTGTAAGCAATAAAAACAGGGCATAACAGAAACTGGGAGTTGTCTACGAAGGAAATATTAAAAAACACCACTGGCTTAACTGACAGTACAATCAATAAACAGTTTTCATGTTTGTTTGTTTTTACCTTTCTTCATTTCCTTCCTTCCTTCCTTCCTTCCTTCCTTCCTTCCTTCCTTCCTTCCTCCCTCCCTCCCTTCCTTCTTCCTTCTTCCTCCCGTTCCT